CACACTCCGCCATTCATACATTTGAAGAAACTTTTTATTTCAGAGGTGCAACTTTTTACATTCGCGTTCATCTTTGCTTTGATAATAATAATTAAAAAATAATAAATTATTATTAATTATTAATTATTTTTAATATTTTTCGTAAATTAATCGTGGTCTTTTATACTCGCAAGGTTAATTTCATAGTTATAGAATGATAATTTGAGAGCAATTTAATGAATGTACGAATGAATAAATGAATGAATGAATGAATGAATGATTAAATGAATAAATGAACGAATAAATGAAGAAACAAATAAAGAAATGAATGGTTAAATGAATGATCGATCAAGCGAAAAAGTTACTAAAATAGGTAACTTTAGTACTCTGCCTTTTTGACTCGTTTCCTTTTCTAATTTTCTTTCTCTCTCTCTCTTTCTTCCTCTCTCTCTCTCTCTCACTCTCTATTCCTTTCTTATCTCTCTTTCTCTCAGAAATTTTTTAATATTATTATTAATTATTATATAGTTATTATTTATTACCGCTATAATAATTATTTCACTTAATTATAACACCAAGAACGATCGATCGGTTCCTTAATAGCCATTCAATTTTTGGCCAAAAAAAAGAACAATAAAAACAAAAATATTATTATTATTGTTGTTACTATTTCGTCAACGTCATAAACAAAGAATAATAATAATAATTTCATTACCAATAATATCATAAAACCAATAAGAATAATTTAGTGGCAGTAGTAGTAATATTTGTAATATTAACATTATAGAAAAATTGTTATATTATTATAATTATTATTGTTGTTGTTGTTATGTTAGTGTCGTTATTATAATTGCTATTATTATTTTTGTTGTTTTACTGTTTCGTCTTCTACTGAGTTATGGAAACTTGGATTGTCGAAACCGCATTCGCGATTTTTCGAGTTGTTGTTGTTGTTGATGTTGTTATTGTTGTTGATGTTTTTGAAGTTGGCGTCATTTTTGTTTAGCTCTGTTGGTATCTTTTTGTTGTTGTTGCTGTTGTTGTTGTCCATTTTGCTCGGTCCTATTAGTATTCATATGCCAAATAAACCAAATGAATTAACGAAAGCCTACCACATTAACATAATTTATTCATAATGAAAATAGAAATAATAATAATGATAATAATAACAATAGTAAAAATAATAATATCTGACCGAATTTTATAATTTCTTCCGCTTCTTCAATGCTGACAGCCAAAAGTAGATATTTCAATTTTGCTCTCAGTAACATAGCGCGGACTGATTTCTAGTCATTTGCATAATTTATTCAAAAATTAATTAATAACTCAATCAATTAACCAATCAATCAATTAATCAACCAATCAACCAATGAAAGAGAGGAAGAATGTATGAATGAATAACAAAATAATTGAATGAATGAAAAAAAAGAACCAGCCCAACAACCAACCTGCAAATGGCAAATAACTAGTGGTATTTTTTTGTTGTTAAAATTCTCGAGCATGGTTCTTAGACCCTGGACTGTCGTTGTATCAATGTAGGCCACGTGTTGGAAGTCCAACACAACGCCCCGTGGCAAACCAGTAGCTAATTTACATAATTTATTATAATTTTATTATAACTAGTATTCAATTTTTAATTATAATTGCTATAATAACTAATATTATTACGGTTAAATATTTTTTTACGATCACAGTTCTTACTGAATGCTATATTTTTATACCGATACATCGAATAGATCCGACAATATATCAATGCCATTCCCACACCGACCGATAAACCGACAACAACGACCCATCTCTACAGTTTTCAGACCTGCGTTGTACATCGGAATGAGGATGTCTTTCATGTTTTCAATGGCGGGAAACATCAGGCCCGTGTTGAACGTTACAAGCACTATGGAACCGTTATTCGTCGAATCCTATCGAGAAATCGGTTAATATTATAATCGGATATTTTAATTTAATGGAGTAACGAAATTGAAAAGTGTATGTAACCGATTGGTGCAGCTGAGTGATGTGAATTAATCAGGTAGTAACCGAATCGAGTGATGTAACCGATTATTTTCAGTATTATTAAATAATGGTTGCGTATTTAGTGATGATGAAAATTATTGAGTTGATATTCGAAAGCGAAAGCTTAAATAAATGAATAGCTACTTCTGGCACGGCTTGATGAATAGTCTGAAAATAAATTAAAAAAATCGAAATAATAAAATTAAAGTTAATAAACAACAATTTTTGATATTATCATCACGCCATGGTATAATGGTTGAGATGTCCGGCACTGGTGCCGCAATGACCGGTTTCAAAAGCAAAGATATCCCAACCTATCACATGCAATGCATATGATACATTTAGATACTACAGAAAAAAAGAACCTAAAAAATGTAATATATCTAATTAATATTCATGAGCAGACGACACTTACCTTCATTTGGGGTTTAGTAGCCGGATAAAGTAGCAACAAAATGGCGACTCCCGCTCCTATGATAACGCCATACTGTTTAGAACCAAAAATAATATAGATGCTAATTAGGTGAAATAAATATTTTATTTGAAAATAAAAAAAAGTTCATCAACCGCTATGCTTATGACGAAGGACAGAAGAATTGTCAGAATCCACGGTATGACGTCAATTTCTAGGGATGGGCGTGAAAGTTAAATTTCAAATACAACGTCTTCTATTATTATCATTATTACTACTACTAATACTATCATTACTATTATTACTGCTGCTACTACTACTACAACTACTACTCCTGCTACTACTACTACTCTTACCACAACTACTACTGCTGCTACTACTATACTACTACTACTACTACTTTTACCACAACTACTGCTGCTGTTAAAACAACTACTACTACTCTTACTACAACAACTGCAGCTGCTACTACTACAACTACTGCAGCTGCTACTACGCGTACTGTTAGTATTCCAAAAGATCCAGAGCTTATGGAAAGTGACCATGTCGAGAACGGCCATGAAGATGACCACAGCCAGGGAAGCGTCGGGAATGTAATACATTGCGGGAGTGCAGAATGCTAGAGCTATTAATACCACCAGACCTGAAGGAGTGAAGGAGTGAAATGCATAGATGAATGAATGAAAGTATGAATGAATGAATGAATGAAAGTATGAATGGGTGAATAAACTACAACTACTACTATTGCTGCTACTGCAGCTACCACATGTGCTGTTAGCAATCCAGAAGATCCAGAGTTAATCCTAACCCCAACCACCATCAAACAATATAACAAACACTCGGGATAATTTATTCATTCGTTCATCCACTCAATCTAGATATCAAAGACACTGAATAAACTATCAAAAAAATATGGTGCCAACCGGTCCAAATACCGCCTGCTTGTGTTTTGACACCACATTGCGCGTTAACAGCTGTCCTCGAGAATGTGCCAGTTATCGGCATACCGCCAACAAAACCGTTCAATAAGTTGCCAAGCCCTGACGGTGATGAAGACGACGACGATGAAGATGATGATGATGATAAGGATGAAAATGATGATGATGATGATGATGATGATGATGATGATAAGGATGAAAATGATGATGATGAGGAGGAGGAGGAGGAAAATGATGATGATGATGATGATAAGGATGAAAATGATAATGATGATGATAAGGAGGAAAATGATGATGACGGTGATGATGACGACGATGTTGAAGATGATGATGACGATGATGAGGATAATAACTGACCGTAGGCCAAATATTCCTGGTTCGGATTGATTCGGTAATTGAATTTTCTGGCTTAATTAAAAATTAAATTATTCCAATAACAATATTAATAATAATACAAATAATTATAGTAATAATAATAATAAATAATGATAATAATAATAATAATAAATAAATAATAATAATAACCGAAGACATTTCCAATAGCCATAGCTTCCAACATACCCAACAACGGCACGATTATGAATCCAATCCCAATCTCAAAATGGTAATAATAATAATAATAAATAAATAACAATAATAATAATAATTCAGCAATAATAATAATTATTATTATTTGTAAATAATAGTAATTATTATCATTTGCCAATACGATTTGTATTTGCAAATGATAATAATTTAAAAATTCAAGAACAACAATAAAAGCAATGGTAACGGCCGTACCACATTTGTGGAGATATACTCCAGGTTGTAAGTGACGTTGGTCTTGGGGTCCACCACACTAAAATTAGGCAATTTAAATGGAGGCATTCCCGGAGTTATGTACCCCGTGAGGCTAAAGGGCCTTAGCCCGTTCGAAAGGAAGATGTACGATGCTATTGAACCGCCAATGATGACCACTATGTTTCTAGCTGTTGTGTTATTATTATTATTGTTATTATTATTATTCTCATTATTATTATTGTTGTTGTTGTTGTTGTCACTGTTTTCAACGTTATAATCATAATTTTCGAGTTAGTTCAAAATGATAATTAAAAAATGTTAGCGCGAAACATTGTCATCCCTGCCATCATCATCATCAGCAGCAGCACCGTCATCATCATCATCACCACCACCACCATCATCATCATCAAAACTCACCGAGCCCCATGAACCAAACAGTCTTAAACAGTATTTTTCTCCCCACACTTAGGTCTTCATATTTCGTTTTCCATGGTATCTCCTTGACCTTCTTCAGCCCCACGATCACCGCAATACTTACAACACCCAGTAAGAAGTCGTAGAGCCTTTTGAAGAAAAATTAATTAATTTATCTCTTCAATTATCATCCTCATCTTCCTCTTCTCCATCACCGTCATCCTCTCCAGAAGCATCACTATCATAACCTCGTTTCCGGCAACTTTCGAATCGTCCAATAGAATTGGGGCATGAAATCGCGCGGAACGCCTTTCAGTCCAAGCCATTTCTGTTGAAGTGGTCGTAAAAATAATAACAACAATAATAATAAATTACTACTAATTATGATATTAAGATTTATTAATATTTATTAATTTATTAATATTACTATTATTATTATTAATGTTTTTATTATTATTGTATTATTAATGTTCGACCTTGACTTGGCTACAGGCAATTGTGATGGCAGAAGCAACGGAGAAAGCTTTGATTACCGGGAAGGAGATGAAATTCATGAAGTAACCTTTAAGGGTGGTTATTGATGGGTGAATGAATGAATGAATGAATGAATGAATGAATGAATGAATGGATGAATGAATGAATGAATGTATGAATGAATGGATGAATGAATGAATGGATGAATGAATGAATGGATGGATGGATGAATGAATGAATGAATGAATGAATGAATGAATGAATGAATGAATGAATGAATGAATGAATGAATGAATGAATGAATGAATGAATTGATTAAATAAATGAATGGATGAATTGATTAAATAAATGAATGGATGAATAGATGAATCACCGATTGAATAAACGAACAAATAAATTATTTTTCAATGAAATAATTATGAAACGTAATGATATAATAACAAAACGTTCAATAAAATCGCAAATAAAACAAAAGAGAGAGAGAGAGAGAGAGAGAAAGAGAGAACGAAAGAAATGAAAGAGAAAAAGAAAGAAAAGAAAGAAAGAACCAACGTAAGACAGAAGGAGGAAAAAAAGTAAATCTCACCGAAATTGACCAAATGCATCCCTATCTCAACCAGCCCAACGAAAAACGCCAACATAACAGCGACACTGCCATCTTTCGAAACGGGGGAAGTGGCGAAGAAGGCGGTCAAAAGGGCCGAAACTGCCGAAGGGCCGAGCGTGATGTCCTTCGAGGTGCCGAATAGTACGTACACAAAACTGCCCATAAAGGCAGCATACAGTCCGGTCTTATTTAGAAAAATTTTGGGGGTAGTGTAGGGGATTAGATAATTTTGTTATAATTATTATTGTCGTTATAATATTAATAATAATAATTTGTCATTCGTTCATTCAATCATTAATATATTCATTTATTCACCACCATAATCATCATGGCTATTAATATTAAAAATACCTCATTTGGTACGCCAGCCATAAATGCATAGGCAATTGATTGGGGTATTACCGTCAAACCGACTGTTATACCGGCTATTAAATCACCCTGAAACTCCTCTAACCTTTTATTATTATTATTAATTATTATTATCATTATTATTCTTATTATTAATTATTAATATTTTGAACCTGTATTTTGGGGCCCAGTTTACAATTGGTAGTTTTTTCCTCAGCGTATTCATGGAGAAGAATGACTTGCACAATGTTTTGCAATCTACCTGTTAAATTTGTTCATTCATTCGTTCTTTCAGTCCTTTATTCATTCATTAATTCCTTCGTTCGTTCATTCATTCATTCACCTTCTTAGCTAATCTTTTCAAATCCTTCGCTTGTTCTTTCACCTCGTTAGCGAACCTGCCACAGTTCAAACGCGCCTCCCCACAACAATACCTTCGGATGGATTGAGTAAATGAATGAATGGATGAACAATTCATCAGTGAATGATTGAATGAATGACAGAGCATGAAAGATTGAAGGACCAACCTCCTAGCTTCAACGTCTTCATCGGTTCTCACATCGCCGTCCATTGAATCACCATCTTCGAAATCATCATTACGTGCGCCCCGTCCGTCATCGTCATCATCAAAATCGTACTCCTCCCTCTCATCAATATACTCATCGTCATCGCTGCGATCGTTATCAACACCCCCATCGCCGACATTTTTGCTTTTGTTTCGCGCCATTTCATCTGCCGGCATTGTGAGTCTCGTCTCATCTTCAAGCGGTTTGTAAAACGGATTGATCGTCGAGCTGAGTTTTCGCTCCGGAGAAATGATGTCACTAATTTTCCTGAATGGACCCACCAGGGATGTGCTGGATATCTTGCGGGCCGGTTCGGTCACGTGACGTTGTTGTTCGTTTTGTTGTTGTGATGAGAACATTGTAGTTGTTGTTGTTGTTGCCGAGTTGTTGTTGTCGTTGATGTTGAGACGCTGGTCGGCCATTTTGTTCTTTTATATTACTTACCACGACGATAATGTTTGATGATGACTTTCAATTAATTTTGTTTTATTTATAGTTTAATTTGATTTTAATTGTGCTAAATACAATGCGTATACATTTTCAACGTATATCTCTATAAAGTTTATTTATAAATAATTCAAAATTATTAATAAAATCATAAATGAAAGACACAAAATTATTCCACAAAACTCATAAAATCAGCCAGCCAATCAGAACGCTCCTTATAAAAGGGCACCTCAACAATGGACCAATCAAAGAAACCGGTTTTCAAGATTTATCCAAATATGACCGTGTTTTGTAACAGGAATTCATCTGGTTTGGTTGTTTAGTTGGTTGCCTGTTGGTTTATTTTGTAGGGAGATGGTGCTCAAATGAGTGGTGATGGAAAGAGAGAAAGAAACAGAGAAAAGAGAGAGAGAGAGAGGCAGAGAAAAAACAAAGAAAGAAAGAGAGAGAGACATAGAAAGATTTTTTATCCAAACGGTCAAAAAACATACAGAACAGCATTAACGTAAAGAAAAACAACTACAATGATAGCAAGAGTTACAAAGTCGTGTCACTCACCAACAACAAAAAACAACAACAATAATAATTGTAATACAATACAAAATTTTATCAGATACACACACACACACACACACACACACCATGCTAAATACTAGCTAAAACTGGATGTATGGTTTAAGTGCATTGGCAAAAGTAACGGTACTAATAAAGCTATATGGGCATAAATTTACATAGAAAAACACACTTTTAAATACATCTCTCTACAACAATTTTATTCCCATTCCGTGCATACATTTACATCTCTTGAGCTGTTCATTACCGTGAGAATAATTAAATTCTCTTCAATGGAATAACGGACAAGAATGAATGTATGTTTTGAAACTAAATTTTACATACAAGCGAATACCTTTGTGTGTATTTTACGATGTATTTGCTTTGTTATTTGTATTGTATGAGTAAAACTATGTTTGTCTCTATATATTCGTTTTGGTTGTTGGCGGTTTAACTGTTTTCTATGCATACACAAACAATTCGTACCTTATATAGAAGTTAATATTGAAGACAACAACACGAAAAACCTTTGAAAAGTTTCAACTTTGTATCGGATTAATAACAAAAAAATCAACAATAACATTTCTAATGTTATACATATATATATTGTATATGTGTGTATAACAATCACAAAGCAAAATGCTAATATAAATTGAAGTTAAGTACATTCAACTCTGGTTATTATTCATCGTTAAAATTGTTTTTTTTATCGCGCATTCATTCATTCGTTCACACTTTCATTTATTTATCCATCGTTCTTTCTGTCAACCCATCGTTCTTTCTTTCATCAATTATTTCAGTTTATCAATTCATTCATTCATTAATTCATTCATTCGTGCATTCAATGGTCAAACTCAAAATTCATCTATCAATATATAAACAGTGTACTGATTCATTCGATCATTTAGTCCATTTCTCCACTCATTCATTCATTCATTCATCCATCTTAATCTATCATTCATTCATCCAATTCATTCAGTCTATCCACGGCCTCTTCATCTCCGGCGGCCAGGGCGATAGTGGAGTTGGAATCTTCTCCTTCCATCATTCTCGTGACGTCATGAACCTCTTGACCTTTAACCTCCAGATCGGCATGTTCCGGATTAACTGAGTCACAGGGATTAATTGGGTCACGAAGAATATTTGGGTTGAGGCATCCCCCAAGTACATAGAAGACGTTTGAGAGATTATAGTGCTGAGTGATTCTCTCATCGCTATCATCATCATTATCACCATCAGTCTTACCATCATTGTTATTATTATTATCGTTGTCATCATCATCATCATTATTATTATTATCATTGTTATTATTATCCCTATCATAACCACAACCTTTCTGATCATCATCGTTACCACTATTATCATCATCATCATCATTATCATCATCGTCGTCGTCATCACAAAAGTTAGTAGCGCTACTGCTAGTAGTAGTAGTAGTAGTATCAATAACATGGCCTTCAGCCATCCTCATATCTCTGCTAATGCCACCACCATTACCCTCACATCCATCATAGCTCTGCTGTACAATTTCAATAACACGGCCATCCTTATTATTATTATAATAATTACCATTATCATTTCCTGTCATAATAAAACTCATTAAATTATCAAGATCATTATCAATACTATTATTATTATTATTACTATTTCCAGTATTACCATTATAACTATCAAGATCAGATAAGACAGGTAAATTAGTATCAGAAGTAGTAGTAGTAGTAGCAGTAGTAGTAGTAGTAGTACCATCATAATCACCAGAAAATGTAGGAGGAGTAGTAGTAATAGTAGCAGGAGGAATAATGGTACTAATATAATTATCATCATCAACATAATTATTAGAATTAGTAATAGTTGTAGTAGTAGTAGTAGTAGTAGTAAGATTGCTATCTTCATTATCATCGCCAGATGCAGCAGTAGTAGCGGTAGCAGCTGAAGCCATAGTAGTTGTAGTAGTATCAACTACATTACTCTCGTCGGCGTAAGAAGTAGCAACAACAACAACATTACTACAATTGACATGCAAAGGTGTTGTGACACGAGTGTCAATACTATCTACAATACCGGTATCAACTGTATTAGTATCATTTACAGTAGTAGTAGTAGTAGTAGTAATTTTACTATCATTATCATCATCATCATCATCATCATCATCATTATTATTATTATTGTTGTTGTTGTTATTGTTTTTATTAACATCATCACCATCTTCGTCATCGTTGTTGAGATAGCTTCTGTAAAATGCAATCCTAGCTAACTCATCTGCATCTAAACCTTCATCATTATCATCATTATCATTATTATTATCATCATTATTATTATTATTATTATCATTATTATCATCATTATCATCATCGCCGGCGCTAACATTGTAATCAGTGTACGTGTCTTGCATTGAAGTGATACTACTACTTCTACTAGTAGTAAAATTATAGGTCATACTGTTTAATACTGTTAAACCAGTGTTACTAGTACCTTCTGAAAATATTGAACCAAAATAGGATAGGCTGTTGTTGTTGTTGGGATTGTTGTCAGTATTATCTGAATGTTCTAGAGATGTGGTTGTAGTAGTGGCGTTTGTAGCGGAAGTTGTTGCAGTAGTAGTGGTGGCGATGGTGGTGGTGGCAGTAGATGCTGCTGTTGTCAATGAAGCTGATGATGATGCTTCAGCTGCAGACAAGAGTTCAAAGTTTAGATCACTGTCTGTAAGTTCAAATTCTGCTGCTGGGAGAGCTTGTAGTTGAGTGTTCATTGCTGCTACTGATGTTGTTGAGGCCATTTCTTTCAAATTTTCCATGTTACTACTGCTGTTGTTGTTGTTGTCATCTTTAGCAACGGTATTATTATTGTTATTGTTGCTGTTGTTGTTGTTGTTGTTGCAGCTGTCATCTTCATCAACTTCCATTTCAACACATTCGATGTTGTCAGTGGTCTCCATGACAACACTATGCAGCTGTTGCTGCTGCTTGCTTGCATCAGCATCAGCAGCAGCTGTTTCCTTGCCACTTTCATTGTTAGCATTGTCGTTACTACTACTATTGTTGTTGCTATTTTGTTGTTTCTCATCTAAATTGTTGCTGTTGTTGTTCTCACTGTTCTCATAGTTCTCATATGACTCTTGCACATCTGCACCACCACCATCACCACCATCAGCAGCAGCAACAACGTCATTCACCACACCGGGACCTTTCTTCCCGTCACTACCAGCTTCAAGAGCTGCTGCAGCATTAACAGTTGTCTGCATCAAGTTAGGATCAGCATAGTAGTTGTGCATCATGTTCATGTCATAAAATGGAGGGGGCATGTATGGGAATGGTGGGAACGGGGGCATCATAGGGGGCATCGGATAAAAAGGATACCCTGGCGGCGGTTGCTGCAAATTGTGGCTAGCAGCTGCGACTGCCAAACTGATGCTGCTACTGATACTAGCTGGTGTAGGAATAGATACGATGGGTCCAATGACTGTTTCCTTCATAACTTGAGACAGCAGCTCATCCCTGCTTAGGCTGGCTGAGTTCTTGCTGGTGGTGGATGACGACGTCTGCTGCTGAGACTTTGAGGGATCATCTATACCACTTCCAGATGTTTGCTTGGAAACTTGAAGACGTTTGCCAATGAAAGGAAGTTTCTTTGAAGCCGCTGAAGATGTGGAAGTAGAAGCAGATGAAATCGCCATTGTTGTTGCTGTGGAAGTAGCTCCAGATGAATTAGTTGGCTGTTTCTCCTTTGCACTGATGGAGGCCATGATGCTTTTGATGGTGGAGCTAGCTGATAGCTCACTTTCACTGTTTGAAACGGCCGGAGTAATTTCACGGGCAGCAGCTGATGACGTTCCAGTAAGTGATCTGCTGGAGCTTTCCACTTTTTCAGGCAGAGATTTGCTCGGCTCATGTGCCTTGGTAGTGCTAGTTGAAGTAGTTGTAGAAGAACTGCTGCTGCTACTACTACTTGCTACAGTAACTTTAGCGCTACTTTTACAGCTGCTGGCAGCAGCAGATGTAGCATCCAATTTCTCAACAGATGACTTTTTATCTCTTCCAGCGTCCTTATCTTTAGCAAGTTTTGAATCATCCGAACGGCCGAGACTACCTTTCCCTCTAGCGCCACTTTTGCTTGGAGACCTTCTGCCATCGGAGGCAGCAGCTGCAGCAGCTGCGGTGGAGTCGTCTTCGAGGTTGATGACGTCATTGCCTTCCTTGTTGCTGATGTTCTCGCTGGATGGAACGCGAGAGGACTGAACGAATTTTGATTCCTTCACTAATTCACGCTGCCTCTCGTAATTAGGATGGTCGTCAACGTACGTCTGGGTGTGTTTGTTTTGTTTGTTTGTATATTTGTTTGTATGTGTGTATGCATGTATGTTTATCTTTGTGTGTTTGTGTGTGTGTGTGTGTTTGTCTACTTAATATGATCAAGTATAATTAAGTATTTAAAGGCATAATGTACTAACTAAAAAGATTAAATTCTGAAACATTACAAAAAAACAAAAGACAGATGTAACTACCCTATAGAAGTTGTTGTGTGCCTGGCTCTTGATGTGTTCCTGGGCTAGCTGCGCTCCAGCTATCAGCTCACTGCAAAGTTTACAATAGTAGGCCTCTGTGGCCATTAGAAACTCCACTCCTAAAATTAGGGAAAAGAAAAAAAAACATACGCGAATCAGTGATTCATTTTGGGCAAATAAATTACAAATTATACAATATATTAATGAGTTAAGTAAATGATACTGGAAAAATGTTCCTCACTATCTCCAATATTGACAATAACATACTCTCTAATTCCATCCATTTCTCTCTGGAATTTTTTTTAGACATATGGGCGGCATATGCCATTCATATAGGGCATAATTTTATTAAATGGTGATGATTTAAAGATGTGGTTTATTTGGTATTTTTGGCTACAATTTTTTTTTTTTAAAGAAAAATCTCTTTATAATTTCTGGTATGTGGACTATATATTTTTCAGGCAGTCAATGCAGCTAAAATGGGTATTGAATTAAAAAATAGGAATAAATTAATTGGAATCATCAGCATTTAGCAATGTAAGGCAGAAACTATCAAACAAACACACAACTTACTTTCTCATCGGCAGGACACAGGCTGACATTAAAATGGTAACATCAACAACAATACACTAGCACAAAGACATCAAAAACATCAGCTAACCTTTTAATGGCACAGATATTCTGTTCTTAACAAATTTATTTTGATCAGCTGATCTTGAAGTCTCAGGCAGTTTAAGCCATGGCATATGTGTTCCTTTAATAAGCTAGAAAAAGAAAATAATTAAAAAAATAATACTATTTGTCATTCTTTTTGTAATAAACTCATTAAATAATAAGTCAACATTATATTGTCTTTCAGTTTTGAATATATAAAGAGAAAATTAAAAAAATAAAAAATATAGAAACTTTTTGGTGTTTAGGAGTGTGAAGATGCTTCATATAATCAATGGCCTCATCGAAGACCAGATTGCACACCTCACACCAATGACTTCCTTCGTCAAAATAATCAAAGTTCGTCTTTGGTTTCTTCTGCTTCGAGTCTGCTGTAGCAACTGCTGCTGCTGTTACTGGATCTTCTTTTTTTAGAGGGAGGTCTTTGTTCTCTGAAGACTGATCAGTTCCTCTTGGTCTAACTCTCTCTGTAAATTTAAGCTGGGAATCACGCCCATTCCTAAATTTATCAGCTGGACCCAGCCTATCCATATATGGTCTGTTTCTGTTCTGGCTACCACTGTTTGAAGGGTATTTGGGGTCGTATTTTGAGTGTTTGCTGTCTGCATACCAGTTCTTTTTGTTAGTGAATCTGGAGGGCCCCGATGATCTGCCACCCCTGCCGTAATCACGTGAAACACTCGGGTTGCTGCTTCTATTCGAGATCTTTCTTTCTCTAGAACTTTCTCTGGAAGAAGAAGATGACGAGGATGAAGATGGTGGTGGTCGATCTTGCTGTTGTTTGATGGTGATCTTTCGACTTTCCACCACTTCAGTTTGTGGTTGAGTTGCTGTTGTGTCCTGTGCTGGTGCCACTTGGGCCCATCTTGACTTTCTGACTTTGGAAGCTTGTTGTTGCTGTTGCTGCGAATTTGTAGTGGGAACATTTGGTTGGTCCCATTTTGAGTTTTTTTGTAACTTGTTTGCAGCTGTTGATGGCAACATCCCTGTTTTAGTCGATGTTATTGTCATTGATGGCTCCATTCTTGATTTTTTTATCGGGTCCATATTATCATTCTCAATGAATCTTTTAATCTGCTTCCCTTGCTGCTGCTGTTGAATTTGAAATGATAATTGATGCTGTTGTTGTTGTTGCTGCTGCTGTTGCAGTTGCATATGTGGTTGCTGCAACGGATATGGTTGCTGCTGTTGTTGTTGCAGTGGGTACTGCACAATCACAGATGCAGTAGACTGATCAAATTTAGAAGCTCTATGCTGCAGAGGTTGCAACTGCTGCTGCTGCTGTTGCAATGGTTGCCGCTGCTGTTGAAATTGTTGTTGAATATTGAGTTGTTGTTGCTTCAACATAGCTTCCCTTTCAAGTAGTTGCTGCTGTTGCAGTCTCAACTCTTGCTCCTTTTGCTGCAACTTCAACTCCTGCTCTTTCTGCTCAAGCAACATTTTCTGCTGCTGCTGCAACAATTTCTGCTTCCTCAATTTTTGGTGCTGGAATTTTAAAAGTTCAGAAGATGGTGTTTCAATGCTAGCATTCACATGTCCTCTGATGCTTTTAAGGGTTCTCGTGATTGAGGTATCATCCTCATCATCCTCAATGAATCTACCATCACCTTCTTCATTATCATTGTTGTTATTGTCTGAATCTGAAAACCTTTCATACAGATGTTTGTCTTCAGATTTGGAGTTGTTATGCTTTCTCCTACCAGCTGCTTGAGATTTGTCAGAAGCTGAAACAGTTGCTGTAGTGTGCTCAGCTGAATAGCCCGATGACTGCTGTTTGAAAAGTTCATCCCCATAACCTATTGACTTCAAAATACTTTCAATCATCGAGTTAGAGGAAAACGACGATGCAGACTGCTTTGGCTGGCTCTCTTCTTGATGATGTTGTTTTTGCTGCAGTTGTTGATGTTGAGGTTGGGGTAAGTATGAATCGCTGGTGTCCCCAGCTGCAGCTTTTGTGGCTGCGGGCACCTGCTGATTTGTTGCCTCACCTACCATGGTGTTGGTCTTTTTGTCATTCACACTTGAAGCCAGCATTTCTGGCTTGTAGCCTAGTTTAGAGAGGATTAACTGAGTTTTTTGAGACAACTTTTCAGCTTCTAAATAATCCTCAATGTTGTAGTTTGGTTGTTGAGAAATTTGACTGATAGGCTGTTGTTTTTCTGGAGATGGTTGGTCGATTTCAATTGGATTCTGCATAGCCCCAGCTGGTACACTAATTTCAGAATGGGGATGCTTATCTGTGTTTACATTTTTAGTAATTTCACTAATGAGTGTGCTACTTTGGATTTTTGGTTTCTTAGAAGCCGATGTATGTTCGTCATCTGATGGCCTACGATCATCCTCAGATGAGTATGATGATTCAGATCTTCTACTCCGTGATCTTTCTCTTCTGTATCTATCATAGTCATCATCTTTATAACGTCGGCCACTTTGATGCCTGCTTCTATCGTGATATCGATCTCTGTCGTCATCTCGCGACTGAATTATAATTTTAAATTAAATTTTATCATTTGATTAAAAAACATTAAAATTCATTTAAATATTGAAATTAAATTTTAAAAGGTAACCAAAGGTATCTTTAACAGAGTTAAGTTGAAAAGCAAATTTCAAAGCAATGCAATCCCTAACCTGTCGTGGGGGGTATCGTTCACCGTCCCTACCCCCGTAACCACGTCCACGATTGGATGTAGATCCAGTGAATCTTCTACCCCCAGCCCTCCTTGTACGATAATTAGGACTATAATTGTCCCCGTAGTAATCACTTCTTTTGCTCTGATAATGCGACATTTTCACTAATTTCACTAATCAATCATTTGAATTAGGAAAGAAAGTAGTTTTGTTTCAAAATAATTTTTTATATTCGTGTATTAACGTAAACCCAGGGTCGAAATGTCTCTATATACGACATACACAAAGATAATTTAATTTACATTTTTATAGAAATGTGTGTATTGTTTATGTATTTGAAAAAATATTAGAATATAGTTAATACTAATAATTAACTATAATTGTTTAATTATTTAATTAAATATTAATTGCAAGACGTTTATGAGGGAGGTAAAATTAATCTACTTTTAAATTTCATTTCACGTGAAGTTAACTTTCATCAGATTATTCTTTAAATCGTGAAGTAAACAAAGCGAATTCATAGTCCAGAGAAAATTAGTAATTTTGATACGTTTGCTAGAAATTTACTTATTTTTCACTAAACTAACTCATAAATAATTGAGATTTAATTTTAAAATTGTGAGAAGTCTTTAGCTGGAAAAATGCAGCCGTCCTCTTCAAACCCAGTGGCATCCACGGAGGTGTACGTTGAGAATAGCAACACCAACGCTAACAATCCGGAAGTGGCCTGGTGGTGTAGAATTCTCGTCAAAGTGGCGGCCGCCATTGCCGGAGGAAGTTGGTTAATTAATACTTAATTTTGTGTTTTTTTTTAAGTTTTTTCCGCCTTGTGTAGTAGACTACTCCCACTTTTAATTCCAGTTTAAAAATGAACTTCTGAATGAATTACACCACAAATTTAAAATTTATTACCTAACTTCAGTCAAAAATTAGTAACGCTGTATTTGTAGCAACATGAAGAATCTATTTTATGAGCCTAAATTGAAATTCAGAGTTAATGTTTAAAAAATACTGATGAATGGATAAAAAGTAAAAAAAACTAACTAAATCGTTTTAAAGTCGATCAATAGATAATTTAAATTATGATTTTATTTTGTATTTATTATTTAAATATTATTAATGTTATTTATGTGTTTATGTGTCTATGCAGTCTGCTTTGCGATGGGCATATGGACTTGTATCTCCATTCATATTCTGTCCATTGTGGCCGGCGCCATTCAAATGTCCGTTGTGTTTTATTATCTTTGTTTTATTTTTTAGTTTTTTTTCTAAATTTGATTTTTAAATAAATTTTGGACTCTTTGAAATTCAAAATTATTAGTCTTTAATTAAACTCATGATAGCTTTATTAGTTAATAATTCATTGTTAATTTCGGCTCATTATTATTATTATTTATTATTATTATTTTAGTGTCTTAGCTATGATAGTTCTTATCTTCGAGGTTCCTGTATGCTGTCAATTTTTCCAGCTGACCCGACCTATTTCTCAGTTCTCTGATAGGGTGTCCAGTATGCAGAGGGCATTCATATTTTCTGGGTCAGGGTCAAACTATAATTAATAATAATTATTGGTTGTTTTATATTGTAATTTAATTTTGTTAAAGTATCTCGAAATAAAATAATTTTATTGTTTGTTACTTTCATTATTTATTGTTTTTTTTAAACAACACAGGCTTGCCATAATTCCTGTAGCTCTATATTTCACAGTTAGCACTGTGATTGGCTGCGGCCTGGTATTTTCTGTCGGAGTTATTTATGGATTGATGGCCCTTGGGAAAAAGTAAGTGAACCCTGATTGGTTGGTTTTTATTTGAAGTCGATGAGGCTAAAATTTCTGATTGGTTGGTTGGTTGGTTGCTTTTAGATAACAGTAAATAAGTTAATTAAATGTTTTTTCTCATTGGTTGATATTTTTATCTCTGAATAAATTGAAAATTCAAACCTTCCAATCACAGAGCTGATCGAGAAACAATGATAGCTAGAGCAGCTGGAGACGATACGAAAGCAATTGTTCCCAATATAGAACTAGAACACAGATGATGATGACGATGGTGGTGATGATGACGATGATGGTGATGATGATGAGGATGGTGATGATGTTGATGATTGCGGCCATATTGGGTTCTTAAGTACCCTTATTTATTTAACTTTCATGATTGTAAGTTTATTTTAGTAGTGGCTTGAAGAATCTAATTTAATATTTTTATTATTTGCTTAATAATAAATTAAAATAAATTATATATATATAATTATATATATATATATAATCCTACATATATATAATCCTACATATATATAATTATATATATATATATAATTATATATATGTAGGATTATATATATATATTTATTTATATATTTATATAAATTGCATACATCGAATATACTGACTTGCGTTCATTTATATATATATATTGGTATATATATTCATATATATATACATACATACAATCACAGACATCTATATACATACATACATTCATACATGCATACATACATACATACATACATTCACTAACTCAAACATACACATACATACAACAGAAACCTGCGAAAACTGGTTTTGTATGTATGTATGTATATGGTTATTATTTGTTATACTTCGATGTTATTGCACTTGTGTATGTAAAACTAAAGGCTTGTTTGAAACATCTCATATGTATCGATACAATGATTAATAATATTAATTTAGTTTTTTAATTAAATCAACTATCTTATTAATCTATTAAATCAGTATAATCTAGTTAATTGATCAATTAATCGTCTCATTATTTTTTGACGGTCGTTCATGTTTAATTTTATATGACATTATCTGTAAAAACCATGATTGCAATTGCAACTGTCTGTGTGTGTGTGTGTGTGTGTGTGTGTGTGTGTGTGTGTGTGTGTGTGTGTGTGTGTGTGTGTGTGTGCGTTTATATGTTCATGTCATAGGTATTATACTTTGGCTTGAGAACATTGACTTATGTGATTCGAATTAATGGAATTTAAATAAACAAAACAAAGTTTCATTCATATCAGTATAATTTCGTGTGTGCTCGTGTGTGTGTGCGCTTGTGTTGGCGTGTGTGTGTGTGTGCGTGTATTATCTTGAAATGTATTGTACTTACGTTGGAGAACGATCTATGGATTTTTTTTCTCCGTTTTATTCCAGGTTATTTCCACTTCCCACATTGCATTCGCTTTTATTATTATTGTAATTATTATTATTTGTAGTAGTAGTGTAGTAGTAGTAGTAGTAGCAGTAGTAGTCGTAGTAGTAGTAATGGTAGTAGCAGTTGTGCTATGCCTTTGAATTTTTCATTTAGACTAGTGAATGAATGAATGGATTGGTTGGTTTGAACGTTGGTTGATCGATTGAACCTGCCAGTGAATGAATGAATGAGAAAATTAATGAATGAATGAGAAAATAAATGAATGAATGAGAGAGAGAATGAAGGAATGAATGGAAGAATGAGAAAGTGAATGAATGTGGTACTTGAATGAGTAACTTAATTGGAACATGGTTTTCTATGTTAATGGGTTTAATTATTTATTATCTTTTTTTGGTTTGTTTACATTCTGTAATTACTTATTTACTATTTATTCTTTGTTTCTGTTTACATTTTGTTTTTTATTTAGTATTTTTTCTTTGTTGTTTACATTTTTATGTTTTATTTATCTTTACTCTCCTTCTATAGCGTTATGTCGGCTAGTATTTTTGAATAAAGGGGTTGTATGTATGTTTGTTTGTATGTGTATGTGTGTGTGTAAGTATTCGTTTATGTGTGTGTGTATGTGTGCAAGATATGTATGCGCGCGTATATTTCAATTTCACTATCATTGATAAACTAGAACCATCTTTCTTTGCTTTTTAAATTATGAATGAGATGACTGAATTTGCTGACTGGACGAATTGAGAAATTGCTTATTATTATTGTTATTATTTGTTGTTATTGTTATTATTATTGTTGTTTTTGTTGTTGTTTTTGTTCTGATTTTACGCCTCGATTAAGAAATAAAGTTTGAAAATAAATTGTGAAATTCGATTTGAAGGGCTTTGATTAATAATAAAAATTATTATTATTTTTATTATTATTGTTCTTATTATTATTATAATTGTCGTTATATTATTATTAATAGAAGAGTGATCGAACGTTAATTCGTTCTTTTTTCCAGGCGAATTCTGAATGGTTTTATGAAGAATTCTTTGTCTGGGTAGTTTCCATCTGTAAATGTCGCTGGAAGGAGTGGCCACTCTCACACACTTACACGAGGGTATGAACACGCACGGGCAGACAAACACAACAGCTATTTGAAATCGTTTAAAAGTGAATTTATAGCAAATGCCGCTATGACGTCACTGATGTTATCTTTCGCAGTGCTTGCCTCGGCGATGATGAGTGGGACAACAACTGCAGCAGCGGCCACAGCCACAACTGCCATGGTAGCGACAACATCAACCACATCAACGTCCACAGCCACAACAACAACCACGGCTACAACAACATTAATAACAACATTAACAACAGCCACACCGGCTACATCATCAATTATTACCACAGCCACAACAACAACCACGGCCACAACAACATTAATAACAACATTAACAACAGCCACACCGGCTACATCATCAATTATTACCACAGCCACAACAACAACCACGGCCACAACAACATTAATAACAACATCAACAACAACCACACCGGCTACATCATCAATTATTACCACAGCCACAACAATAACAACATCAACAACAACCACACCGGCTACATCATCAATTGTTACCACAGCCACAACAACAACCACGGCCACAACAACCATGATAGCGACAACATCAACCACATCAATCACTACAGCCACAACAACAACCACGGCCACAACAACATTATTAACAACATCAACAACAGCCACACAGACCATATCATCAACTCAAACAAATACCTCAGAAAAACAGTCATCCACAATTAGAGGGGTTAAGGTTGGTGAAGAATATTATGGATATGGACCAGTAGATTATGAATTCTATGAAGCTTACCGTACCGAATATACAAAAGTGAGGGTCATTATGGAGAGAGTCCCGATCAACAATGCCAGCGACGTATCATGGTCGTACAATTACGATTATGACGATTTCGGTAATTACGAGATCTCAGATCCTTCAGACGATACGGAACCGACCGACAGGCTAGTATCCAAACTTGATAGAGTTAAACCGCCTCAGAAAAATGTTACACTTTCTGTCGATTCTATCGGTATCAAAATGGACTCTGATGGTCATTTTAATGATGACTATGACGTTGATGATGACGTAATGACGCCATATGTGCAGACGAGTGATAATTCATATACTTGCTCGCTCTGTCCAATAATATCGTACGAACAACCGGATAGTTTACCGGTCGAGTGCGGTATGTTTGACAAGGAAAACGCTCGCGTGATGCCGGTCTGCGAGAGAGCCCATTACTGCTATTCTGTTAAATACGGTTAGATGGTAGTCGGTAAAACTTGGTGGTTGTTTGAGTGTCTGTGGCAGTTTATACGGCCTGGTGAATGTCTTAAACCTCTGTAATAAAATCGTACAATAAAATAAAATCAACCCAAACCTTAGCTTATCAATTTAATTAATAATTAATTGTTCAATCAGCAGTTAGTTATTTTTATTAATGTTGACGTTCTTAACTTCGATTGCTATCACAGACACGCACACACGCACACGTACTCACTCACATACACACGCACGCACGCACACAGCAAGTGACATAGAGAAAAAGGGATGTTACCATGAAATCGATCTGATGTACATGCGGAGCGCTGCCGCAGGGAAAATTTGCTACTGCAACTACGACTACTGCAACTTAGATAATGCCGGTTCTTCCAACGTTTACCGATACCGAATCAGTATCGATTCGGTACAAATTATTATGATTATTATTTTTATTATGACTAATTAGAACCGGAATTGAGTTGGGTTATTATTATTCTTATAACTGTCGGTATTTTTGTCGAATATTTATCGATGTTTTGTTAACCACATTTTATGGTATCGTCTGACTGGTACATGGTATCGACTGATTATTATTATTATTATTTTCTTTTTTTCGTTTTTATTATTGTAGTTGAATTAAATCTATATATGTTAAAAACATTTAATTAAGAATTATATGTTTATTTATTTCGCAATAATAATAATATGGTTCGTATAATTTGAGAAAAAACCCGCCCACCTGTTTTTCAAATGCTCACAACAACCCGTCATCGTAATTAAAGTAAACAAACAAACAATAATAATAATAGTAATAGCAATAACCATCATCTAGATAATAATAATAATATTTACAACAATAATAATAATAATAATATAGTTAGTAAACTCGGTCCAGATGTGATGCGATTAATGAACAAGGATCGTAGCAATAACATTAATATCAGCTGATGCAAAGTTACCATAATAATAATAATAATAAATTATGATAATAATAAATAAGTAATAATAATAATTATGGTCGTGATTGTTATGGACTATAATTATAATTATTTTTGATATGCTGAGAGACAACCGCGGTCGATTCCAAGTTGATATGGGTAGATGTGAATCAATAAAACAATGGGGTTTGTTAATTTGGTTTAAATGGTTGAGGTGTCTGGTCCTACTTACGTTATGACCGAGTTCAAATGCAAAAGATTTCTGATTTTTACCAGATACGTGAATTTAGAAATTTACAAGCGCTGCGTGTGTGTGTTGCTGGTACTTTATAGAGTTAGACAAGAAAAAGATAATATCTTTTATCATTATTTGTAAATG